AAAGTTTCTTCAAAATAATAGAACGAATCCCGTTCTTCCGTGAATGTGAGTAACGTTTTCTAACTTTCCTTCTCCTTCTCCTTCTCCACCTCCTTTTCTTCCTTTTTCTCTTTCTTAACTCGTGAAAACTTTTTTTTTTTTATGAAAATGCAACGTAGCAAGAATAAATGTCACTCGTAAGGATCTATGAAATCCGATCGGATCACGCTTCTCTAGTTGAAATTTACGATATTGTTTTGTTTTTTGATTTTATATTTCGTTGTTTTTATTTAAAAATGAGTAATTATTGTTAATGATATTTTGTTATAATTGAAAATTATTATTTTATTATTATTAATTGGCATTAGGAATTTGAAAGTTCATTGCCACAAATAATAAATCCTGCCAATATGACAAACGATATTTGAAAATAATCGGCTAAATTTTATTTAACAATTTTTTTTTTGGTTTTGTTTATTATTAAATATAACGAATGATTATTATTATTATTATTATTATGAAAATAGAAATCGTTAAACAACCCGAGGGATAATGATATATATATATATGATGTATTTAATATTTAAATCCATGGTAGTACAATCTTTCGAAAGACTTTAAATTAGATGTAATATTCGTGTTGATAGACTCGTCGTTTATTTAATTATTATTATTAAAAAAAAAAATAAAATAAAATAAAAGAAAAAATAACACAACAACATATCCATGCTGAGATTCCAAATACGAGGCTTACGTGGCCAGTTTCTTGCGATTTCGGTCGTATTTCGACCTAATGGTGATGACCCCGTTGGATTGCCATCTTATCTTGCCGTCGAGAAGAAGAAGAAGAAGAAGAAGAAGAAGTAGAAGAAGAAGAAGAAGAAATAGAAGAAGTAGAAGAAATAGAAGAAGTAAAGAGTTAAAGTAAAAGAAGAAGAAGAAAAAAATGAAATAGGAAAAGTAAAAGAAGAAAAAGAAGGAGAAGGAAAAATAGAAGTAGAAGAAGTAGAAAGAAATAGAAGAAGTAAAGAGTTAAAGTAAAAGAAGAAGAAGAAAAAAATGAAATAGGAAAAGTAAAAGAAGAAAAAGAAGGAGAAGGAAAAATAGAAGTAGAAGAAGTAGAAGAAGAAGTAGAAGAGAAGTAGAAGAAGAAGAATCATCGAGGTTGAGCGATTCCAATATTTCTTGGTACGACGAACGAATCACGGATTGCGAAGTTAATCGACCGAAATCGCCAGAGACTGGCCCTAAAATTATTTACATCGATCGATAGTTTGTTTCCTTGTTTGTTTGTTTGTTTGTTTGTTTATTTGTTTGTTTTTTATTTTTCGTTTTCATTTTGTCTTTTTATTTTTTATTTTTTTGTTTCCTTTTCACTTTTCTCTATTTTTTCTATTTTTT